GACCCAGCTGCTGCCGCCTCCTCTGAGACACTTCCTGAAGCTGAAGTGTCCATCTGCGGACTCCGCAGCACGCATGAGAACGACCACATTCCCAGAATCAGCAGCCGAGCAAACCCTTTGATCTTTGGACCCATTTCACGTTCTGCGCATGAGAGTTGATAGCATGCATGCATGTCCTTGTTCATTTCACTGTGAGCCCCCATGCCACTTGCTACATGTTTTTGAACCTTTCTTTCATTTCAGGGTGCACCGATTACGGCTTTTTGTGTGTGTGTGTGTCACTTCCTGTCTCCAAGGAAAAAACCACAGAAGTCTAATTCACAATAGAGGTCTGACTAATCACTGCGATACCTTGTGCAGTCAGCAGGGGGCTGGAGCCAGGTGGGGAGTCTCCGGCCAACGAAGACACCACCTGCGTGTTTTCCTTTAATTTTTAAAATAAATCAAGTGATGTACTGATTTATCTCTTGCGAGCATGGATCTAAGTGTGTGTGCGCACGCCTTGGATTCAAAGGCTCCGCAACTACTGCCACACGGTTATAGTTTTCACGCAGTTTCGCAGGGGGCTGCAAGACCATCACTGGAACTGTGGCCAACGAAGACTTCCAGTGGCCGGTGTGGAAGCGCTTGCTTGAATAGGGAAATCACGGATTCTAACTTTCTGGTTTGGTTCCACAGTGGAACCATACTGTGGGAGACCTGACACCTCTCTGCCCGCAATGTCTAGATGGACCTTGTTCCGCTTCTCGTTGAGGCTTCTTTCCCACTGAGGTTTCGAGGGCACCTGTGCATTGCTTGCACTTGCTTCAGGCTTTGCTCAGTGACGAAATGTCCTGTAAGACAATATCAGTTTAATCTGTGTATATATACAATATATAACGGTTAGAACAAAACTCTTAGCTTTCTTCCAGTCACTGGTCCTCCGAGAATAGTCCCCAGACAAGTCTCTTCAGGCATATTTTTGGAGGTCGGTAGGTGTCGGAGAATTGCAACATTCCTGTGGTTGATGCTATTCCTGGCTTCGACCCTTTGGCTTCATGCCTGCTGGCCTTGGGGCAAGCAGATCCTCTTTTGCAGTATACTCCCTAATTGGCTCGCAAAGATTGCCTGTGGCCATCCCCTCTTATGCGTTTTCCCGAGTTGTTCAACTAGATTGTACAATTGTACAAGTAGCTGAGCGTGATCTACAAAATACCAAACAAAACACGACAATTGCTCCTCTCCACAGCTTTGGCAACAGGCGCCAAGGAGTACTTCCTGGCAGTGTCAGGGTTCAGCTGGTGTCCTCAGACAGAAACAAATCAGAAGAACTCGACGACTTTCCCATCTGGTCTGCCCAGGTGTGAACCTCAGTAGCTCTGCGCATTGCACACTTAAAGAATATAAAGAGAAGAGTTTTGCAATACCAAACAACAATCTGAGGAGGGCTCAAAGCACAACTGATTTGGCACCCTTCTTCAGGCAGTGTCGAATGGTTGGCATAGCCTGCCATCTCTGCATCGTAGGATGAAACTGCTACTCTCTTCCATTCTTCCAAGTTCAATATGACAATCTTAATATATACCGTGTATATAAATATAATATAGGAACAATCCTCACTCAAGTAGAAAAAAACGGAATGTCTCCTCAAGTAGAAAAAACGGAATGGTTTCAACAAAAAGTGGAAGCGGCCCCCCGAATATCAAGCTCCATGGAATCCAGAGTGAGGTTTTGGAAGGTGATGTGTTTCACAATTCAATTGATCAATAAACCAAACGAGGCTTGCAAAACAAACAAAATTAGAAATAGCAGACCCCCCAATTAGTTAAACTATCAACCAAAACCAAACGACGGTGTCAAAAAAATGAGGTTAGTATCAGGGGGGAGTTTAGAGGATATTGCAAGCGCCCTGATACGCAATCTATGGGAATCTATGGAACCTGACAGTTGGAACCCACAAGTAGCGGTTTTAAATGGCGCAGTAACCAATGTGTTTTTGGAGAGCGAGTGTGCTTGGGAGAGCACACACTAGTTCAGGCGAAACGCATATTTGTCTATCTTCCTGTGCCCCATCTCTGTGTGCAATGTCAATGACAGAAGCTATTGGCTCTTCATCTGCCACTATCAATGTGTAACGCCAATGATAAGCGTTATCAGTGTGACTCTTCTTTGTCCAATATCTATAACTGCTTGGTCATTTGTACTCACTTGTTCTCAACATCGGTGAACGCTGTTGGGCTTTGAACCTTGAAAAGTGATTGATATCAAATATATGTATGTATATATATATATATACGCAGACTTGAGCTTCAACACTCTCCCCTCAGCAACCTGCTAGTGTTCCAATAGATTTTTGACATGATATGATTGACTTGTTATATTCTTCCATCTATGCTTTGATATCTTTGGTGTCCTATCTCCTCACCAAGCTCTTCTCTTCTTAGTCGTAGTCCAAACAGGCTTAGAAAAACAACGGATTACGTAGAAACATTGCCCGTTGAATAGCTTTATGTATATGTTCATAGCCAATATTTCATTATGAATTTGGTTTTGGCTGGCATCTTGCCCAAACCAAGAGAAACAAGAACATTACAAAACAACCAAAAATCTATATACAATGCGTATGTATCTATATATATATGTAAATATAACTGTTTGCTTTGATACAACTCAATCAAACTTCGTGCGCCTAGTCTAGCTCCTTACCTTCTTTGAAAGAGCTAAGCCAACCAAAACAACTTGACCAAAACAAAAGCCTTGTGAAGATTGAAGCAGCCTTCCGTTTTGGCGCTGAATGTCAAGGCAAGTTTGAACGTGTAGAATTTTTTAAGCTAACTATACAACTACAACCTGCTGGAACAATAGAAACACCTATTGACAATTGAGACAGGGCCGCACCGAAGGTGCTGAGGCGCTTTCTCGGTTTGCGTAAACGGCTAGTATTTGCTAGATCGCTCATTGAGTTTTAGCTTGGGGGGGGTTGCTTTTTGTTTCAGAATGTCTTCCTTTCGAGGTTTTTAAAAAATCGGTGAAAACGAGCTATTCATTGGCTACGTTAGGCTGCCCGAGTGAGAGTGCATTATTGACATCGCGGGTGCTTGCCCCTGTGGCCTTCCCGAAAGAGAAACGAGAAAACTATTGATCAAAGGAAGTTTAGAGTGCAAAAATTCCGTGTTACGGACATTCAACAGCTGTTCAATGCACCACTCATCATACACCACTCATATAATACACCACTCATATCATACACCACTCATCATACACCGCTCATCATACACCACTCATCATGCACCACTCATCATACACCACTCATATCAGGACTCATATCATACACCACTCATATCAGGACTCATATCATACACCACTCATATCATACACCACTCATCATGCACCACTCATCATGCACCACTCCTCATCCACCACTCATCATACACCACTCATCAGACACCACCCATCATACACCACTCATCATACACCACTCATCATCCAGTTAGCTCCAGTTTCAAGGGCTCTGGCTCCAGTAAGCTCTAGTTGCAAGAGCTCTAGCTCCGGGTAGCTCTAGCTTCTCTAGTTTCAATAGCTCTAGCTCCAGTTTACGTGGCAGGCGCAGCACCCTGTGAACCTCCACGCGCAGATTTCGTGGCAGGCACAGCACTTTGTGAACCTCCATGTGCAGAGTTCGTGGCAGGCACAGCACTGTGTGAACTTTGAGGTGCAGATTTCGTGGCAGGCACAACACAAACTGCGTTTTCGAGAGATAGCGGACGCACGAAATGCTGCGTTTTTCAATAGAAAGGGTGGCTCCGAAGCTGGCAAGTCAAGCTTTGCGGAACGACGTGTGCGAGACGGTCTCGGGTCATGCATGCTCGGGTCATCCTCGGATCATTCTCGGATCATGATCGGAATCGTCCCTCACTTGTGATTAGAGTTTTCAGTTGTTTTTTGAAGCGCAGATATCGTGGCAGGCACAGCACTTTGCGAACCTCCACGCGCAGCTTTCGTGGCAGGCGCAGCACTTTGTGAGCCTCCACGCGCAGATTTCGTGGCAGGCACAGCACTTTGCGAACCTTCACGCGCAGAGTTCGTGGCACAAAGTGCTGCGCCTGCCACGAATTCTGCACTTCAAGAAACAACTGGAAACTCTAATCACAATGGAGGGACGATTCCGACCACGATCCGAGAATGGTCCGAGCATGACCCGAGCGTGACCCAAGACCGTCTCGCACACGTCGTTCCGCAAAGCTTGACTTGCCAGCTTCGGAGCCACCCTTTCTATTGAAAAACGCAGCATTTCGTGCGTCGGCTATCTCTCGAAAACGCAGTTTGTGTTGCGCCTGCCACGAAATCTGCACCTCGAGGTTCACAAAGTGCTGTGCCTGCCACGAACTCTGCACATGGAGGTTCACAAAGTGTTGTGTGCATTTCATGGCAGGCATCGCACTTTGTGAATGTGAAGATTCCGTGGCAGGCACAGCACTTTGTGAACCTCCATGCGCAGAGTTCGTGGCAGGCACAGCACTTTGTGAACCTCGAGGCACGCACAGCACTTTGTGAACCTCCATGCGCAGGCTGAGAACTGGTGACTTGGTAGTACAACTTTAGTACGCGGAGTAGGCTGGGGAGCTGGAAGCTGAGAACTGGCGACCTTGTAGTACAACTTCAGTACGCGGAGAAATCTGGCGAGGTGGAAGCTGAGAACTGGCGACTTTCTAGTACAACTTTAGTGCGTGGAGCAATCTGTGGAGCTGGAAGCTGAGAACTGGCGACTTTGTAGTACAACTTCAATACGCGGAGCAATCTGTGGAGCTGTAAGCTGAGAACTGGCGACTGCGTAGTACAACTTTAGTACGCGGAGTATCTGGGGAGCTGGAAGCTGAGAACTGGCGACTTTGTAGTTCAACTTTAGTACGCGGAGCAATCTGTGGAGCTGGAAGCTGAGAACTGGCGACTTTGTAGTACAACTTTAGTACGCGGAGTATCTGCGGAGCTGGAAGATGAGAACTGGCGACTTTGTAGTGCAACTTTAGTACGCGGAGCAACCTGTGGAGCTGGAAGCCGAGAACTGGCGACTGCGTAGTACAACTTTAGTACGCGGAGTATCTGGCAAGCTGGAAGATGAGAACTGGCGACTTTGTAGTATCACTTTAGTACGCGGAGCAATCTGTGGAGCAAACTGGCGACTTTGTAGTACAACTTTAGTACGCGGAGTATCTGGGGAGCTGGAAGATGATTGGCAGTACAACTTTAGTACGCGGAGCAATCTGGGGAGCTGGAAGCTGAGAACTGGCGACCTTGTAGTGCAACTTTAGTACGCGGAGTATCTGGGGAGCTGGAAGATGCGAACTGGCGACTTTCTAGTACAACTTTAGTACGCGGAGCAATCTGAGGAGCTGGAAGCTAAATTTGAGCTAATTAGCTTCGTGTCTAGACAAGCTATCACATCAAAGTTAACGTCTAGCTCCAGTTAGCTTTAGTGGGGCTAGAGCTAGAGCTATGCTTCACTCATCACTCATCACTCATGCGCCTGACTGAGGGACACGAGGGACACGCATGGTGGAAAGAACCGGGACTCTCCTAGAGGTCAATTTGTTCTTATAGGAAACTTCCGCCGCCGGCTTGCCCGGGAACTACTTGTAATGTTAGTTACGCTGCCCGAATGCATTGCATTATTGGAAACGTGTGCGTGTTTGCGCCTGAGCGCAACACGCCTAAGAGAGGTGTCAGTCTTCGCCGCGAAGCGGTGTGAATAACTTGCGTGGACCAATAGAAGCTAATTGATGTTGTTGCAACTTGGTCTAGCTCATTAGCTTCTTTGGTAATGAGTTCTGGAATTTTATGTAGATCTTGACGCTCTCAAGAAGGCAATGTAAAGAGATAGAAAACAACATAGCCCTTGTGAAGGTTGAAGCAGCTTCCTTTTGGTGCTCAATATTGAGCGCATTTGAAGAACAAAGGCAAGACATACGTTAACCCTATTGAAGCAATTAAAAGGCCTTTTGAAACTGCGAACAGCTTGCAGGAATGAATGCTGAGGGAGAGGAAGACGTTTAGCGACCCTGTCCGAAGCACAGTGGCTCCAGCGCTCGGCAAAAGCAGTCTTATAGACCCCGAAAAGTATGGAACTGTGCCAGGAAAGACATATTTTGAATAAAGACTATACAAATTACACCGGCATAGACCCAGATAGCTAGGCAGAATCCCACGACCTGTTGACATGCGACTGGCTGGAACAAGAATGTACGCAGCCTGCGCAGCCAGAATACGGCACCTCCACAGCGCGCACAATCAGCTGACACCAGCACCAGCACCGACACCCTTTCGAAAGCACGCGCAGCCAGCTCATTCTTATTTGCAGCAAGAGCCCCATAGCTAGCCCTATTTGGGGAATAACAACGTATGACCCTGCGCGTATAAGTTTATGCGCACAAAAGTATGCGCGCAAACAGCAAAGCCCGTATAAGTGTCATTGGCCCAATGCCAAGCAGTATCCAGCGCCACTATGTAGC